TCGAAAATATTTTGTTCAATAGCTGTGGAAAGAAATTGAAAGGTACCAATTGGACCGAAACAGAAACAAGATGTTTTCTTAATCTTTGTATTGAAAAGAGAATAATACAAATGATGGATGGGAAACGCCACAAACATATAGACATCTATAATTCATTAGAGCCTAGTATGAAAGAGATGGGTTTCATAAAAACTGGTGCACAAATGAAAATGAAATTGAAACATTTGAAAGAAATGTACTTTAAATGTAAAAGAAACAACAATACAAGCGGTGCTAGTCGTCAGACATTTGCTTTTTACGACGAAATGGAACAACTTTATTGCGGAAGGCCATCAGTCCAAGCCATTACAAACATTGGTATCGATTCCACTGACAATAATATTCAAGGTATGTGAATAATGTTTATAAATACATTTCTTATTTACTACTTATTTATATTTATGATAGTAATAATAATGTATGCACTCATAGTTATAGAAATAACTGAACAAGAAATGTTGCAAGATAATGTACAAGATAATGAAAATGAAAATGAAAAGGAAAATGAAAATGTAATGAAAAACATATTTAAAAAAAGAAAGACAGGTCAGTATTATGAAATATTATAAATTTCTTTAGTAAAAAAAATTATAATAAATATTAATAATTTTAAATGAATATAAAATTAAGTTATATAAAATAGAACATTGTAAACACTGCATTACGTAAAAACTTAAAGCACACACCTATTTTTATCTTATGCTAATAAGTACATCATATAAATTTAAATTATTTGTTTCTCCAAATAAATTTACAGAATATTGTTTATTTGTGTATCTTTAGGTCGCAACACACACATGAAGCTAGCGGAGAATTTTGCAGAAGTTTTTGTTAAGAAACAGGCCGAAGTTATGGAGAAACAAATGCGCATGTTTGACGCACAACTAGATTATATGAAACTATGGCAAAAGGAAATGATGGAAAAAGATCACCAGCATCAAACTTTAATTTTGGAGACCTTTATGAAAGGATTACATACAATGCAACCAGTCAACTTCCAGTATCCAAATTCAGTTCCAATGCATACATTCCCGCCAACTTCTGCTCAAAATGTATATCCGTATCATTTGTCACCATCTGTGTTATCACATTCATCATCTTTTTGTGGAATTGCTTCTCCTTTACCATCACCGACTTACGAAAATTCTCAAGAAACAAATGTATCAGTGCCTTCATCAGTATCATCTTCATCTCTTTCTGTAATTGCTTCTCCTTTATCATCACCGACTTCAAGAAATTCTCTGGAAATGAATGTATCAACACCTCCACCAGTACCGTCATATTCATCTTTTCCTGTAATTGCTTCTCCTTTATCATCACCGACTTTAAAAAATGCTCTAGAAACGAATGTATCAATGCTTTCATCAATACCATCATTTTCATTTTCATATAATAAGACTGATATAAGTAAACACGTACACAAGTAAAGAAACAAATATTTATTCTTTTTGTATACATATATATGCATATATCGATGTATTCTTTATATTTATCCATATATTCATAATATTTATATGTATTCATAATATTTATATGTATCCATATATTCATAATATATGCATGTATCCATATATTCTTTATATTTGAAAGGAAAAGTAATAAATCTTTATACTTTATAAGAAAAGTGCAATAAAAAAATAAAACATCAATATGAATATTTGATTTCAGTTTCTTATCTAAAAATCTTTTTATCTTGCATTGAATATCGTATATTATTGTATATTATCTTAAAACACTTGCACGCAACGGAAAATTATTACATAAATAATCTGTTAAATGTTTTCGAATAGTTGATCCAGAGATGTCATCACGTTCTTGGTTGATAACATTTACGGGCTGTGGATAAATTATCTCTGCTTCGACCACATCATTCAGCCATTGTTGAAAAAATTGTTCGTTCCTAGACTCCACAAAATTTTGTAAAATACAACAGCAACTTACAATATTTGGAACGAATACATGATCTATATCAATTCTTTTTAGGAGTATTCTCCAACGTGCCTTAAAACAGCCAAATGTCATTTCTACACGAACTCTTGCAGAATTTAAATGTACATTAAAAGATTCTTGTTCTGCTGTTATGGTACCGGGGTAGCCTTTTAATAACCATGGTAACAGTGGGTACGCAGGGTCACCAACGATAAAGTAAGGTATCTCTAAATTGTTAATATTTCTTGTACCCTGCAATAAAAATTACACAATAATATTATATAGTGACAAAGTATAAATATATTTATTATATAATGATTAATTGTTAAGTTTTTATTCTTACCTGTGGAATAATATTTTTGAAATTTTTATACAAACTTGAATCTTTAAATACAGCAGCATCATGAGTACTCCCAGGACGACGAATACAAATATTTCTAAATCTACAAACAATACATTTATTAATGAATATCAATCATGTTACTGTTATTAATAAAACTGAATATAAATATGTACCTGCATTTATCATCGACAACTGCTTGTAAAACATATGAAGGCCAACCCTTACGATTAACAAAATCTCGATAGCCTTCAAATGGAGCCAATATAGGTATGTGCGTACCATCGATACATCCAATGATTTGTGGAATGTGCGATATCATTTCAAAATTCATTGCTATTTCTGAAACTTCGTGTATATTTGGCATTTGGAGATAATCTTCCATCATCAAATTATTTACAGCATTAACAACTCGAAAAACACATTTCTTTACTGTAGATTTATGAATTCCAAATACGTTGCCCACGACACGGTATTCTGCACAACTTGCTAATTTATATAAAGCGACAGCAACTTGCTTTTCGACTGATAAAGGTTCTCTTGATTTTAACAGAAGAGGCTTAGGTTTCAAAGCAGATCGTAATAAAATGCACAAATCATTGAAAGTTTCTTTAGACATTCGGAAACTCTCTATCCAGTCTAAATCTGTATATGTACATAGCACTATTTCTTCCCAAAAATGATTGCTTCTTGGCTTCATCCATATGCTTCTTTCAACATGAATTATATTCAAATACATTTCCAAAATGATAGACGTAGGCAACATCTTTGTATTTTCCATTAATACTTTTTGCATCCCGTATAATTGTTCAATAAAAGTTTTTCGCATAATTTGTATGTTTTTTCTTTTGTACAAAATAAATTTATAAAAAAACATAATAATGGATTCACGTGTGAAATGTGACATTTCGTTTTTGTGATGAAACGAACGAATCTGGCAGAAATAAGTTCTCTGCTCCGCGAACCGAGATATTTATCGTAAAGTTTTTTTTTTTTTGGAGTGCCCCTCGGATTGAGGGAAAATATACGTTTTCGATCCTAACCTTTGGATCATTGTATAACCAAAGAAAGAAAATCCAATTTATAACCAAATCCGTTATCGTAAAGTTCATAACCTTTCAGGTTAGGAAATCTCAAACTCAAAGACTCGATATAAGCGCCTTTTTCATGACTTAATGCGCATGCGTTTAGCGATTCTTAGGTCCACATGGAAATAATTTGTACAAAATACGATAGATGGCTCTAATTCGGACCAGCGTGGACTAAATATGACCCAACCATTTTTTAAGTCCCTTTCGGTATAAACGGTTGGTGACTAGACCTACTTTGGGTCACGATATAGGTCAGGTCGCTATCAGTCGTACGGTGTAACCGTAGCCACTGTA